TCTCTCTCTCTCTCTCTCTCTCTCTCTCTCTCTCTCTCTCTCTCTCTCTCTCTCTCTGTGTGTGTGTGTGTGTGTGTGTGTGTGTGTGTGTTTCTGAACCTTGTTACGGCTCATGGGTACGGTCCGGACATCTGGATCCCAATGCGGGCGGTCCGGGTTCGGATGTCTGGGTCTGGTGTGACAGTGGTGTCCAGTCTGGAGCGTCAGGATCTCCACGCCTTCCCCCCGCCCCCCTGTCAGAAAACAAATATCGGACTTAAAAAGAAAATTAAAAAATATGGAAAGGAGATATGTTATGCAGCTGTGAAATAGAAAAATCTTTTGGCCGAGGATCACCTGGAAATTCATGGCCTAATAAGAGGGGGAAAATAGAAAAGATTCTTTGTGTTTTTTTTTCCCTTCAAAAAGCGGGTGCGGGGTGAGGGTTGTTCAATCCGGATGCTCTGGAGCCATCCAGACAGGTCCCTCGGGACGTCTGGATTGGTCCCGTGCCCGGGTTCGGTGTAGTCATGTTATGGCTTTGCGACCTCCATACAAGCCTCCTTTCAGAGTCCCAAATCTCAATCCCACCAATCCATACCTCCTTGTCCAACCTCCGTTGACTCTTCCAACTTACATCATTTGTGTATGTTGTCCTCTCTCTTTCGGCATTCAGCTGGGTTGGAGCATGCAAAGAAATGTGTCACGGAGATGGTCATCTGGCCATTGCAAAGGCCAGATATCTTCCAAGGATGTCGGTCACCTGGCAAAGGCTTGCTTCTCTTTGGTCCACCGGTAAGACATTTCGCCTGACCCAGTCCCTTTTTTAAAGTTTTTTTCCCTTTGCGAAAAAAGAAGACATTACGAAGAAACTGATGGCACAGCAATCATAGCTTAGGCAAGTCCCTCCTCCTCCTCCTCTCCAACATCATGCGCCTTTTTGACTACTCTGTCACGTCCTTGTCAAGGGATCCTTTTCCTCCGGAACTGAAGCTCTTTTTGAGCACCTCCTGATGAGTTTGGCGGTGAACCAACAGAAAGTAGTCGAGGATTCGCCATGTTTCGACTTTACTAGGCCTGAATCTCTTCTATATGACATTGGTGTGTGGAAGATGATGTGATTTTGAGCTGAAGATTTGGTGGTGTCTTTGCAAGTTTATCTCCCTAGCTCCAGTACGTCTCTTCTTCTTTCTCTCCCTCCCTCATGTTCTATGTTTGATGTTTGCTTACTTTCCTCCTCCTCCTCCTCCTCCTCCTCCTGTCATCATTCCTGGTGAACTGCACCATGGCGACCATACTGAGAGGGTATTTTTTCAATCTTTTTTGACTTTTGAATCTTTTGATATCTAGGGCACAGGGAAGACCATGATTGGCAAGGCTATTGCTGGGGAGGCAAATGCAACGTTCTTCTCGATCTCCGCAAGTTCCTTGACGAGCAAATGGGTGAGCTATGATAACTTATTATCTTTAGATCTGTATCAAGTTATCAAGCCTGCATGCAGTGTGCACTATTTGATGTGCTGTAGGGTGGGCCAAAAAGTGGTACAAGTGTGGTGCAGCAGACATATCAAATAAATAGACGTAAGAATTCAAAAAACAAAACCAACGAAATGTAAAAAAAAATAAATTAAAATAGTAATGACAGTTTATGAAACTTTATGAAACGTTATGAAACTTTATGGAAAAGTCCAAAATTCTCCAAATTCACCAAATTACTAAATTAGATTTTCGGACATCTGGTGGAGTTGGACCATTGACAACTCCAGCATGCCATCGGAACAAGTATGGGCATCAACGAAAATCCGCATGGAGACTCACATCCAGTGCCAATGGAAGAAGGTCAAGCTTCAAATTCAGCAGGACCCGGACAAACAACAGGAAACGATAGCTAAGTTCAGGAGGGTGTGGCTGGTCCAGGGAAAGATAGCGGACATTCACGCCCTACAAATCAGATGGAAAGACTGGCACAATTCAGCTAACCCCTGAGGAACGAGGGGTTCCTTCCAGAAGGAACAACAAGATCTCAGGGGTACGCGAGACCCCCTGGGAACCACTCAGCAAGCGCCTGTCTGCTGTCGGGTGAAACACTCAGTGAGCTGCAGAATGTACCAATGGGAGGCTCCAGAGGCATAAGAGGCGGACCAAGATCCAATCAGCAGCTTATCTCCCTTCTCCTTGCCTTATTTGTAGTATCTGGAAGTTTTCAATATGGAATCTGAGAGGGAACTAAGGGACAGGAAAGCTGACAGTCAATCCTCCTTCAAGGAGCAATCAATGCTGGTCAGGGGTACTTCGGCCATACGGAAGGAAGCGTGAGCGTGTATAGGGAAAAAAAAAAAAAAAAAAGATTTTCGGATGTCTGTCCTTCGGGACGTTCGTTAAAATTGGAACGTTACAGAGAAAGAAGATTAGCATGGCCCCTGCGCAAGGATGAGACGCATAAATCGAGAAACGGTCCCAATATATATATGGCAGTTCTGTTTGTGACGATATATGACGATATATATGCGAGGAAAATGAGCGATAGCGAACTTCAGAAACCAAGCAGCATCATACTCATGAAACCAGATAGTCGTGACCTCGAACCAAAAGCAGAATTGCAACACGAGTTCCACCAAATAAGAGCACAGCAAAAGCTCACAAATGACAATGTTGGAATAGTCTCATCATCATCAACCATGAACCAATGTCGACATCCTATCTGGCGCTTTGCGCCCAGACTACAAGTGGCAGATCCTATCTAGCCTATCTACAATGGCGCTGGTGACGTCAACAGCTCCCCGAAGTACGAGCAGATCTCGGCCAATGCCGTTCGCCTCAAGCACCAGGTATGTCTCGCGTATCACTCGCAACCTCGATCCCCCACTCACAGATGCCACATGCACCCAAGGACCACCATGTGCCCCATCCAGAATAGCGCAGGGCAGCTCGGCTATGGCTGCCTGCTCTTCCTGCTCGCCCGTGAGCGCGTGGGCCTGGTCAGTGATTAGCGCAGCAGCGCTTGCGCAGCATGCAGCCAGTGCCCAAATGCCGAATGCGAGGGCAGGCACTTTCCTAAATGGAAGTGGCCTGCCTGCTGCGTGTGGCCTGCCAGCGCTGGGCCCCTGCCCAGAAGCTTCCAGTAGGCCCCGGGAGGCTGAGCCCCGGTCCAAACGAATCAGGCCCAGGGCCTGTGGCGGTTGCCTGTGTCCAACTGCGTGTAGCCTGTGTTTGGCCCATATTGTGTATCTGGCCCAGGGCTTGCCTTGGTTACATACGAAAAAGGCAGCCAGGTCCTGGGTGCTCTCAACCAACTGGCGCTGTGCAACTGCCTGAATTTCCCCGGTTGCGTTGTCGGGGCAAAAACCCTGACAAGGGTATTTGCCGGTGTTTTTGAACGTCGGACGTTGTCCGACTCTTGCGTTGAATTGAAGGACTTGATGAGACTGACATTGCCAAACGTTTATTCAGACCAGCGCTATGACTGAAAAACCTAAACCTCTTTAGGACCTGACGTCGTCAACGCAAGACGACATCGACGTCTGTGCGGGATAGCGGGAGTTAGCACTGTCATCTGCGGGTTTTTTCGACAAGGACGCAGTAGTGTGCAGTCATGGAAAGGCTAAAATTAAACCTATTCTATCTAAACATAACAGCCGCGCGATTCAGGGCCTAAGTGGCTAAGGAGAGAGTTGCGCCGGGGTATGGGGCCACGACGCAGGAGGCGTACGAAGTTTTTGTTTTCTCTAGGGCCGCGGGGTCTGATTTCGAGCCTGGGGGCCGATAGGCAAATGCCAAGGCTTACCCGGTTCGAAGGCTGACCAAGCCGCGATCACGCGGCTAACCGGTATGGGTAGGCCACGAGCAGGAATGCCGACAGGCCACAGGCAGGACAGACCTGCTAGGCCACAGCCGGGGCAGGCCTGCAAAGCCACATACAAGCGGAGCCTGCAAGGCCGCAGGCAGGGGAATCATCTGGGCTAGCTCTTCATATTGAAAAGCTGCTCCTATTTAGTGTGAAATAGGAGCTAGCCTAGTAGGTTACGTCACCCGACTACTACCCAGCAGACACCGGGATCGAATCTGAGAGATTGTAACTGCGGGGCTAGCTCCTTTTGGAGCAGCCCAGCCTCTTGGGCACGGCCGATCTCGGCCGTCCGATCAAGAAGATCTCACGGTTGAGATTGGCCGCGCGGTGATGGGCATGGCCCTGCGCAAGGATGACACGTATAAATCGAGAAAATGGCCGAAATAAATAAAAATAGAAACAAAAACAACAATAAATAAAATAAAAACAAATAAAGAAGAATAGCGCCACATGGCGCCCGAAGATGTGCCTAAAGGAGGTTGGACCCTGACAGTCCGTCTGCGCCTGAACCTGGCACCTAAGGGGCCTACACAGAGAGAGAGAGAGAGAGAGAGAGAGAGAGAAAGAGAGAGAGAGAGAAGGCAGGGGGTCACCTACCTCGCTGGCCCATGGGACTGCCACCGACAGGGTGAGCAAAACCGAATGAATCTACCCCAGAACTTGGGGATATGCAGGAGTCAAAGGTAAGGTTTTTTTTTTTTTTGTTTGTTGTTGTTGTTGTTGTTTTCCCCTTTCCCTGTTCGTGGGCCGTGGTAGCTCGGCCAAACAGGAGAAACGAAAGGGGCTGAGAAAACTGAAAAACTGTAAAAAAAAAGAAAAAAGAAAAAAAAAAGCAGTGAAACAAAAACGAGGCAACCGCCTCGTGGATCAAAGAAACAGTCTTTCAGACTGTGTGGGAGCACAAATGCTCCCACTTTGTTTTTGGAAAAATTGAGTGTGGCCGTGAGATCTTAGATCTCGCGGCCCACAGTGCACGCGTGGAACAGTGAGGGAAAGCAGAGGGACTTGGGAGTTAGGAAGGGGAGGTCCTACCTCTCCCAACCTGACAACTACCCTCCCCGTTTTCAGGGGAGGGCAGAGAAAAAAGGAGGAGGGCTGTAACAGCATGAACCTGGTTGAGGTAAAAGCTAGGTTCAGTAGAAATTTGAAAGTTAGTTTTTTTTTTTCTTTCTTTTCTTTATTTTTGAGTGAGGACACTAACTGTCAGGCTCCCGTTTTTGCAGGGAGCCTGGAAATTGAGGGGACACTAAGGAAAAGGCTAGATACAGCCTTTTTCTCTATCTAGCCTTTTCCTCGATGTATCTGCCCTGGAAAAAGGGTCCAGGTACATCAAATTGTAAGGGGCTGTATCTCTCCAACCCCTTGTCAGGAAAAGAAAAGAAGTGTTTTGAAAATGGCAGGAGACCAGCTATCTCGCCAGATTCCGAGATAGCTGGGAAAAAGAAAAAAAAAAGAAAAATGGGGCAGTTAAAGAAACTGCCCCACACTACAGCTGTGGTTGTGGTGCGGCCACAGTCAGCCCTGGATCTAGGCCAGATCAAGGGCTCACTGTGAGCCCGCGTTTTTGCTTGGGGGCTGGAGTGACGTCCAGCTCTCTTCAGCCAATATAAAAAAGGCAGCTGCCCCCCAGCTGCCACACAAAACACTCGTGCTGCCAGTGTGTGACGGGCACACTGTTGTGGCTGCTGGAGCTGCTGCTGAGGCAACGTGACGAGGAGCTGGAGGATTGCTGAGGCAACGTGAGGAGCTGGAGGACTGCAGAGGAGCACCAGGAGGAGGACTGGTTAGCCATAGCCAAGGATGGGACCACTCTGCTCCCCTCCCCTTTGGCTGGTGCTGGTCCCACGGGACAGGCCCAGTGGCACTGCGGTACTACGGCACGCGGCACACGCTTTTACTGCGGTAGTACGAGAGTGCTGCCGAAATTTTGCTGCGGCGGCACAGGCTTTTTCTGCGGTAGTACGAAAGTGCTGCCGAAATTTTGCTGCGGCTGCACCGGCTTTTACTGCGGTAGTACGAGAGTGCTGCCGAAATTTTGCTGCGGCGGCACAGGCTTTTTCTGCGGTAGTACGAAAGTGCTGCCGAAATTTTG